CTTTTGAATTTTTTCTTTTTTTTTTTTCAAATAATGGGTTCAGAAATTCATTTTTATGACTCAACCTAATCCATAGCTGATTTTCTGAAGTACCCACAATTATTGTCTATGGATTATTTAAGTGAGTAAAATATCTTGCTTCAGTGTACTACATTATGTTTGTAGAGTATCTCTGGAAAAGCTTTGCATAAAGGTTGTTATTACATACCTTAAAATTTTAAAGAGGGTATTATTTTTCTAAATAATTTATTACAAAGAATTTTAAACATCAGTAAAACCAATTAAACATTTAAAAGTCATTAAGATAAAAAAGACTTTCAATATATAAACAATTAGAGCCACATATTTGTTTTGTCTGGATTGCTTTTCCATCTTTTTTGGCCCTATGTTTGTATTCTACCTCACGCTAGACCATGTTGATTCAGCAGCACATTCCCAAATCCTCATCTCTGCTAGCTATGCTATTTCCATGCCATGCTATCTGCATTTTAGCCATCATCCATATTCTCATCTTGATGGAATGTTGAAGCATGGCCGTTTGTAGAAGGGAAAAATGGCAACTGTGTTCTCAAGAAAGGTTCAGTCATTAGATGCCCACTTCATTGGCCTTGCCGGTATAAACCCTATTCCCAAGGAGAACTGCATGAGGCCTCTACAAAGAGATGAAGAACTTCCAGGCCATGCAGTACCAGAAGATGTTAGTTACCTGCTGCCACATATATATCATTCACATATGCCTCACTATCTTTATACTCTTAATTTTGAATCCATTCTTCCCATGGACTCTGCGTGTATATGCACCGGAGAATGTGCTCTAGGTTTTTTTTTGGAGGATATTTTGTACCAACTGTTCTTACTAAACCACTAACTAAATGCCTTTGCTAAAGTCAATGAAGTCTGCTGACTAATTGCTAATAAGAAGCACACCATTAGTAGGCTAGGCTAGCAGGAATTGCTACCCATGGTGTTACCCCTAGAATCTGAGAGTAGTAGCCACTGTTTGGGGACCCCATCTGAGAGTGAAAGTGCAAGTTCAGGGAACAGATTGGAGGTGGTATTCTATTTCACATCCTGTCTTATGCCCTGCCTATTCCTGACCCTTGAAATCAAATATCCAGGTACTCAAATTTGGTAGGTCTCAGCCATGGTAGACCCAGCAGTCTCTATGAACTTCATACACTCAATGCTTACCCTCAAAGTACAAGAAATATTGGGTTAGTTAAAATGATCAATGGACACCCCACTTCAATATGGATCAATGAATCAGGAGACCAAGTTCTAACTAGAGAAAGATCATCATAGGGAAGTCACACAGCAAATGCAAAGATTAGAAATGACTCATATGTGAAAAACTTTTCTATGATTCATGACAGAATGGAGGAATTGAAAGCCCACAATGCCAGGCTAGGGATGACCTTTAGTGGGAGAAATCAAAATCAATCTTTCCCTGTCAGAGAGAATTAGAGCAGAGTTTTGAGTGTAGAGGAAGATATACCTAGGAGGCAATTAACACCTAAGGCCTGCTGAGCAGCCAGAGTTGAGAATAAAATCCGGGATAGCTCCAATAAGTGAGAAAAAGATTTGATTAAGAAATGATTGAAAACAGTAAAGTTTAGCAACAGGCATGCTTAATTTGTTCCTACCTAGGTATTATATTACTTTGAACTTCACTGGACATGCATATCAAATTGTTGTAAGTAGATGGCTGAGATTAGTCAAAAGATGCACTAAATTTGGTGAAGAATTGCATCTATTTGTAAAATAAAATGTATTAATTAGTGAACCCACCTCTTTCATTCATCTATGCCTGAGGGAAGCCTAATTTCATGGATTACGCACTGATTCCATTTATAAATGGGCATTTGCTATTTACCTGGTGGCAACTGCCCAAAATTCAGGAATAGTTTTTAGGAGGAATTGATCAGCCTCCTTAAGGGTTGTACTACAAGATCAAAACCGAATAGGTGGCATTAATTTTCAAAGATGAGTTTAGCTTTCTGCAGGAAGCCATTCCCAAAGAAACTCATTTCATAGCGTGAGTTATGGTCAGCTCAAAACATAACCATACTTGAGGTGGCATTGTCTATTGGAAAGAACACTGACTTTAGAATTACAGTATCCAGGTTCAAATCCTGTTTCTGATTTTTATTACTTGTGTAATTTCAGCAAATTGATCAACCACTTTGGTCCTCAGGTTGGGCAGCTAGGTGGTGCAGTGTATAGAGTGCTGGGCCTGGAGTCAGAAAGATTCATCTTCCTGAGTTCTAATGTGGCCTCAGACGATTACTAGCTGTGTGACCCTGGGCAAGTCATCATTCCTGTTTGCCTCAGTTTCCTCATCTGTAAAATGAGCTGGAGAAGGAAATGGAAAACCCCTTCAGTATCTCTGCCAAGAAAACCCCAAATGGGGTCACAAAGTGTCAGACACAACTGAAAAAAATTGAACAACAAAAATGAAAGGTTGGGCTGGGTGACATGTAAGATCCAGTTCCAGATCTATGGTTCTAGATAACAAGGGTCCTATTCAACTCTGGAAGTCTTAACTACTCACATTCAGGATTGAGTGTTCTGGGTAATCACAATTATGCAAATATGGCTGGAGCCCCCATTCAGTGCTTTCTCTAATGAGGCAGGAATTGTAAATTAAAACAGCAAAGCATTTCAATTGGATGGGATAACAAAATAAATTACAAGGGAAAATCCAGTGATAGAAACATACTATGGCCTCCATACACAAAGGGGTAGATCTCCAAGAGACTCTGAATCCAGTGCAACAGCTGACATGCCCAGTACAACTCATGTTCCTAGGGTTGCACTGGATCTAGAACAATCAATCAATAAACATTTATTAAGGGCTTACTATATGTGCCAAACCCCGTGTTCAATGCCGGAAATACAAAAAGAGGCAAAAGACATTCTCTGTCCTTAAGGAGCTTACAATCTAATGGGAACATGGCTTCATCTCCCAGAAATCAGCTGGGGCTCATTTCTGCTTCACTTTGCTACTGCAGGTCCTATGCCTCTCTGCTTCTGGAGCTTCCTTTTCCTATTTTTTTCAGAGTCACTGCTACCAAATAATAACAATTAACATTTACTAAGCACCTGCTGTATGCCAGGCCCCACGCTAAGCATTTTACAATTATTATTTCATTTGATCTTCACAATACTCTATCATTATCCTCATTTTACAGATGAAGAAATTGAGGCAAACAGAGGTAAAGTAACTTGCCCAGGGTCACATAGCTAGTAAGTGTCTGAAGCTGGATTTGAACTCAGGTCTTCCTGACTCCAGGCCCAACACTCTATCCTCGCTGCTGTCTAGCTACCTCTGCTATTAGAGCGCACAACTGCTGTTGGGTCTTCTGCTTTCTCAAAAGGAAGGTTGTCCCTTCCACTTTTGTGAGACTGCTCTATCCAGTATAAGTAAGCGCGAATTGACAATTCTTTTTCATCTTTTGTAAGTGAGGCCCACAGTCATTCAGAATTCAGATCGCATGAGGAATCCCTTTTAAGCAATCCTTAAGACCTTTAAAACAACAACAACAACTTGATTTCTATCTCCCATAACCCACTGTGAGAAATCTTCCAGGTCTCCCTCCTTGTTGGGCTATGGAAAACAAATTTCTTTCCACAACTGTCACACCCATAGCAACTAGAACCTGGCCCATGCCAACGTCCTTGAATTTTTGGTAAGCCTAATGAAGGTATTTAGCAGTACTGGAGGAAGGAGGGTGAAGCTGGAACCCTTTGCCTGGCACTCCAACCACCTTTGCAAAGGTTCTTGGTGCTCTGATACACAATCACAGAATTTCAGAGGAGGAAGGGTCCCTAGAGATCCAATTTCCCCATTCTATAGATGAACAAACTAAGGTATAGAGAAAGTAAGTGATTTACCCAAGGTCACACAGAATGTAAGTGTGGGGGTGGGGATGCCTGTAGGGTATACTTCATTTTACACACACCACCACACACACACACACACACACACACACACACACACATGCCCTCTGTCAATAAATGAAGTAGTCTGGCAACTCATCAGAGAGAATGTTTTTGCCTTTGTATCCTAAGAGCTTAACATGGTGACTGGCATATAGTAGGCGCTTAATAAATGTTCATTAACTGACTGGAGACACTTCACCAACTCTTCTGCATTTTAGAACTCCCTCTTCTTTCTGGCATCTAGGGTTCTTACGGTGAGGATGTTGCCTCAGTTAAACTTCTTCCCAGGCAGCACCCCATCTTTCAGATTTTTTCCTAATTCCTCCAAAATCAAAACTTGTCTGCCCACGTCCCATTCCTTCTAGGGTCTGGTTCTCTGCCAGCTTGTTTGCAAAGTGTTTTACATATTTTATTTCATTTGGTCTACACAATAACTCTGGGAGGTGGGTACTTTCATTATCATCCCTATTTTATAGATGAGGAAACTGAAGGGGGCAGGGAGAAGGGAACAAGGATTTATTAAGGACCTACCACGGGTCAGATACTGTGCTAAGTGCTTTATACATATTTCATTTGATCTTAACAACAACTCTGGGGGGGTAGGTGGTATGATTAACCCCATTTCATAGTTGAGGAATCCGAGGCAGACAATGTTTAAGTGACTTGCCCAGGAATACAGCTAGTAAGTATTTGATTTGAACTCAAGTTTTCCTGATTTAGTTCTGGGAAGGCCCTATGCACTGTACCACCTAAGCACATATATCTAAGCCAGTGAAAGAATCCCTAGGGATGAGAAAAACACTGTGGACCTTGATGAAAAGGAAAAAGGGAAAATGGTTCTTACTCAAGGCCTTCCTAACAGATAAACACACCAAGGCTGCACAGATTATGTGAAGACAAGCAGAAGAAAGCCAAATGAACAGCAGCTGGGCTCTTTCCGTGGCCTTTGGATTCGGGGTTGCTAGGATACAGGAGCATCTGATGAGAAGATCTGGGAGCAGCCAGCATGAGGCACCCCCTCCAGAGCCCTTGAATACAGGAGTCCCTTGTGTTAATCCTGAGGCTGGGCCAGGCAAGAGGGAAAAAAACAACCCTTATCTCACTGAGAGGCTGCAAAATTGCTACACCGACCCACCCCCACTCCTGCGCAAAGGAAATAGAAGCCAGAGTTATAGCAAGAGTGACCACACACACTTCCTTAAGACCTCGTTTTAGGTCTCTCCCTCCCTCTGCTTGTGACATGCACTGGCCGAGATCAGATCAGCTCCATGGGACACTTGAAACCGAAGCCTGGAGGGGAAATTTCCTAGTACTGCTTAACTAGATGGAGGTAATTTTTATTTGTCTATTCTGGTGGTCAGGGGCTGAAAAGAAAGCCATGGCTACTCATTATTTGCCTTTTGTTTCTTCTCAAGGGCAATGGAATAGTTACTTTGCCCCTGTTACCTCATTTGATCCTCACAAATAGCCTTGTGAGATAGATGCTTCATTTTATAGATGAGAAAACCGAGGAAGAGAAAAGTTAAGTGACTTGCCCAGGGGCATACAGCTAGCAAGTGGACCCCCCTTGGTGTCAAAGACGTATCTACAGTTCTAACTAAGGGTCTTTTGGGGATAAGCCTCACCTTCTTAAAGTTTGGGTTTAAAAAAAACAACCACCACCATGAGCAACGAAAAACTTACCATGTTACATATTAGACAAGTTCTCAGAATTTTTCAATGTATTGGTCAGTTATGCTGATTTTTTCCCTTTCTTAAAAATACCATAGAAGAACTCTCTGGGAGGGCGAGGGAGAGGGACACTTGGGATATTCATGGCAATGTAAGAAATAGAAAATATCAATAAAATTTTAAAAAAAACTTGCCTAGAAATTATAGATCCACAGGTGGAAGGAGTCTTATAGGCCATCTCTCCCCCCCAACTCCGCCACCATTTTTCAGGGGAGAAAACTGAAGACCAGGGAAATGAAAGGATACATCCAAGACTAGAGAAGGAATACATTTCAGATGTGGAACTTGAACTCCACTCTTTTGACTTCATGCCACTGTTTTTTCTACTATATCATGAAAGGTAATTATCTGAGAATGGTAATCATAGGCCCATCAGAGCACAGATTTAGAACTGGAAGAAAGCAAGAGGTCATTCCACCCACCCTCTCATTTTAGAGATGAGAAAACTGCAGCCCTGAAAGCTTGTGATTTGCCCCAGGTTATGTAGGGAATAAGAAGCAAGTAGCAGAATCTGGGAATGTTTGGACCATTTGGGGCTCACGTTTTTCCACCCTCTGTCAATAAGTTAATAGCATTTGTTGAAAATCTCATTTGCAGGAGCTAACAGAGGGGAAGTGACAAGGGCAGCAGAAGATGGTGTTTGGGCTATCTCTTTCGCTCTGATTAATGAGCCCAGGGATTTTCCTTCAGTTTGAGCTTAAGGAGAAAAAACAGAAATTAGCGTCATAGGAGAGCAGGAATAGAAACCACTGCTCAGGGTTTTTCACTAACTCACTAACCAAGTCTATCACATTTATGTAATAAGCAATTGTATTTGCTTTTCTGCTTTCATTGTTAAAGATGGCAGGGCAGGCTGCATTTATTTTTGTTGGAAGGGAGGGGTGTTAGGCACTTATCCTTCTATGAAGCAATCTCCCTGAAGAAAGGTCAGTGGGTGTTGACCCACTAGTTCTGGGTCCCTCTGTGACATTCGTTGGCTGAGATCATATCAGCTTCATGGGAGACTTGAAACTGAAGTGACACATCTTCATTTCCTGATCCTGGGGAGTCATCTTAACAAACCTAGGTTCTAAGCCAGTTCCTGTTTTCTAATTGTGAAATTATGGAAGATCTTGCTACTCTGGAGGTGAAAACTCTTCTGTGCACTTGCTGAGGGGCAATTCAGTTCAACAAATATATATATTAAGTACCAGGTACTGTGTTAGGTGCTGGAGGTAAAAAGAGAGAAACATAAGTCAGCATGTATACAGATTAAATCAATGCAAAATTAATGTAGAAGGTAAGGAGCTCTAACCCCTGGGCACATTGGAAAGGTCTCTTTTAGGAGGGGGTATTTAATTAGCCTTGAAATCAGCTAAGGGAGAGGAGGGAGAAAAGCATTCCAAGTATGGGAACAGTCTAGGGAAAGACACAAGGAGGAGATCGGAATAGTCAATTACCATTGTTATTTTTTTTTTCCTCTAGGATTTAGCCAGTGGCCAAGATGGGCAACCTGAATTTCAAAGCTCAGCACAAACAGGCACCCAGGGTGGTGATAATGGGCCTGGACTCTGCTGGCAAGACCACCCTCCTCTACAAACTGAAGAACAACCAACAAGTGGAGACCTATCCCACTGTGGGCTTTAATGTCGAGTCTTTGGAGGCATCAAAGTATAGGTCCCTGATTCTTTGGGATGTGGGGGGTCAGGACCAACTCCGGTCCAGCTGGAAAGACTATTTAGAGGAGACTGACTCCCTCCTCTATGTGCTGGACAGTACAGATGAAGACCGGCTGCCTGAGGCTACGGTTGAGCTGGAAAATGTCCTGAACAATGCTCATATGGCTGGTGTCCCTTTCTTGGTCTTAGCCAATAAGCAGGAGATGCCAGGGGCCCTGTCTCTGCTAGAAATTAAGAATAGGATGCGTCTGGATCGATTCAGTGACCGGAGTTGGGAGCTTCGAGGCTGCAGTGCCCTGACAGGTGAGGGGCTAAAAGAAGTCCAGCTGGCCCTGGAGAGACTTCTTAAGTCCTGAAAGCACATATGCCTCTACAGTATGAGAGTGAATGGAGAGATGAAGAAGTCTTGACTGATTAGAAATGTTGCTGAGTAAGAACTGGGGAAAGAAACTGAGTGACCTTGAAAGACTTAAGAACTCTGATCAACACGATGATCAATCATTATTCCAGGACCAATGATAAAGAATCCATGCCCCTTCTGGCAGAGAACTGATGGTCTAAACATGCAGAATGAATGCATTTTTGGAAATGGCCAACATGGGAAATTGTTTTGCTTGACTGCATATTTATCACAAGGGTTTTTTTTCCTCCTTCTTTCTTTCTCCAGTAGGGAGGGGGAAGTGGGAAGGAGAGAATCTCTGTAAATAAAAAAAATTTAATTAAAAAAAATCTGGGGGAACCAACTAATCATTAGTAAGTCTGAACATTAACAGCTTATCAGTCAAGAAATCCCCCTGTTCCTGGAGATCATATTTGTTTTCCACAATAACTTACTCTCATTTCTGTTTCTAAAGTATCCAGAGTATAATAACACAAGCAACAACAACAATCCTCCACATCTCCTACCCTCAAACAAACAATCATCTGCTCAACTGGTTTTTTAATTTCACTGTTTACAAATTAAGGTGTATTCAGTCTTGCTTTTCTTTTGATGCTCTATAGCTTCATGGAGTATGGGGTAAGAAACACCAGATTTTCCCTGAAAGAATGGCTTTATGCTCCCTACAAACATTTCCAACCCATCAAACCAATGTAAGGTTTTCTTTAGTTTACCCTCGGTGGCTTTTTGGACTTCTAGCTGACTTACTTGACACAAACTTCAACTTTCTATTGGTGCTACCACTGGAGGAAGATAGCTAGAATGCATCATGGTGCGCTTTAATATGAGCAAACACATACCAATTAGGAGCTCAGGGCAGGAATTCTGGGTTTAAGGTAAAGTGGAGCCCAACAGCATTTTAGGAAGATGGCCAGACTACCAGATAACGTCTAAGGTCCCTTCCAGGTCAAAATCCCTGATCCTATTGAAGCCCCACTTTGTGTGGCTAGGAAGCTTGATATACCCTTTTCTCCTTAAAGTCCAAGGTAATGGATCTCACAGTTTCATATTTGTCCTTTCCCCTTGCTGTTTCAGGGAACTAGTAATGCCAAATATTAATGGAATTCATAAGCTCAGAGCCCCCAGACTGGGAAAGAAATGTTTTCCTTTCCTTAGTCACTAAGCAGAGACCAGCCTCTATGATTCTTAGTAACCTCTGAAAAAAAATCTTACCTAGCCAGTGCTTTTCCCCTTAACCATTTCTGTATTGCAAAAAAAAAAAAATCACAGAATGCATAAAATTCAATATATCTTCATCTGAAAACCAAATCTATTATAAAAGGACACACAACAAATATACAAGATTTAAAGAGAGTAGGTAATTCCAAGATGGTGAAAGATGCTGGCTCTCTAGGTAGGAGAAAGGTGGAGGAACTGGAGAGTGCATACATTAACTGGGTCCCAGCAATGATATAAGACAGGCACATTCAAGCAAATGGCAAGTTCTTTTCAAGATCAGTCCTTAAGAGGATCCATGAGCCAGACAAAGCTCTGATGGCTATCCTAGGCAATGCAGGGTGGCAGCACCATTTCCTTGCAACAGGCTCCTACTCCTGCTATATGCTCATCCTTCGAACCCCTTTCCACAGAGCTCCAGTGTCTCCAAGCTTCCATGTTCCATGAAGCAACTGCCTTTCAGTAACGTTTACTCTCTCCCTGTAACTGGCAAGGCTACACTTCCCAGGTGTCCCCTTCTGACACACATGTGCTGTGTGATCCTGGGCGGGTCACTTATAGTCTCAGTGCCAAAGGCACTTCTCTAAGTCTGCAAGTGATAGAATAGATGCATATCTGTATTTGTAGAGGAAGTTTCATCACCAGTAGTTCTCAATACCAATGAAATCATGGGTCCACTCAAAAAAAAAATTGGAAGATTGCCTCTACTTACAGTGATACTGAAGGTTACACCCTGGGCTAGGCTTAGAAATGTACGCTCTGCTGTGTTGCCCACAGCTTTGAGCTTGAGGACCTCAGTCTAGACTTTTCTTAATAGTTCTTTAGTTCTTCTTTTCTTTATAGGCATTTCAAAAGTGTCATGAAAATATTCAGTCCTCCTTTCTTTCCAGCAAAGTGAATCTCTCCAGAGGGAACATAGAGAGAGGATCACATGTGAGAAGTTCTGAAGATTAATTGGATAACAGAAAAGTCCTCTCTTCCTGAAAGAGCAGTAGCAGTATCCACAAACACAGAATCCTAACTGGAAGAGAATTAAGGTCCTATATAGCCTGACTTCCCTTCTTCTATAATATTCCTGACAGGCAGTTTGCATGATTATTTTTTTTCTCTCTCTTTTTCCATTTATTTAGGGGGAAAATGACCTGATGATCTAAGTAGTTAGATGTAGGTATGAAGGAGGCTGCGTTTTCTGATGATGACTTACTATCACCTGGATGTGTTCAGCTACAGACCCCCTAGGGAGAAATGTTCTGTAATTTAACTTCTAAAATGTACCTAATTTAATTAAATAATTCTGTGTTCAATCAGACTTATAAATTGTGTTAAGTGATAGTTTCATCAGGAAGCCCCAGAAGGAAGAAAACAATGTGGGGTATGATCGTGCTCCTGACTCCTCTCCTTAGATGTTAAGCTGGTCCTAATCCATTCTGATCTTCAGACCCCTCTACCCTGGCTTTCATGACATTCTACAATTAGAATGATTTCAATTTTTTTTTAACTAGGTAAAAGAGGCCATCTTGTGCCTCATTTCCTCCCTAGCCTTAATCACTGAATGGGCATTGCCTCACTCAAACTGAGACCTGGAAAAGATCTTAGCTTAAAAAGGCCAAGGCCTGTCACTGCCTTCAGGGCCACCTTCAGTTGTCCTGATGGGTATCTTTCCACCGGACCTAGATGGCTTTGGAGGAGAGAGTGAGGCTGATGCCTTTGCACAGCCCTCTCTCACTTGCATGTCATGGTATCACCTCCCTGATATCATTGGTCCTCTTCGAGAGCAAAGGACAAGCAAACAACAACAATGATTCTTCTAAATGTGGACTCCTGGTTGTGGGCCGGTTGGCATCACACTTTTGAGCACTTAATCGTAACTACCTTGCGTTGTTACTTATTTCATCTTTATGTGTCTTGTCTCCCCAATTATAAGCTCCTAGAGAGTGGAAACTGTATGGTATATTTCATTTGTATCCCCCTCAATGCCCCGTACAGTGCTATACCTCTAATAGGTACTCAAAAAACCCCACAGAGGTCAAAGGAACCTTACAGGTTATTTAGTCCAACCTATAACTGACCAAGAATCCCTTTTCAACATCCCTAACAAGGGACCATTCAGTTTCTTTCTTTCTTTTTTTTTTTTTTGGCTAGGCAATGGGGTTAAGTGACTTGGCCAGGGTCACACAGCTAGTAAGTGTTACGTGTGACCATTCAGTTTCTATTTGAAAATCTGCAACACAGGGAACCCACTACCTTCCAAGACAGCCCATTTCACTTTTCGTTAGTTCTAATTGTCAGAATGTTTTCCATGAGGAAAATAAAATCTATATGAACTCTGCAGGAGTCTGGCACGCTATCACCTGCTTCTTGGCCTCAAAGACTTCCCAGACAGCTTGTTTTTCTTCCAGGGCCTTCTCCAAGTGATCCCCAGACCAGAACCACTTTCCTCCTGTCTCTTGATGGTACTGACCCAGACTCTACCTTTACCTGCTCCTGCTTGCTGTGAGGTGGGCTTCCTGGGTCTCTAAGGTCATAGCATCATCACATGCCACAAGGTTGGATCTTGAGGATCTTGAATATTCTAATTAAGCTACCTCCCTCAATGGACCTCACTACAACGTGAATCCTAGACTTACATTTCTCAATTGTTAGCATGGCCCCACACTGTCACATCCTCCTCATCACCATGATTATGAGCCCTCTGCTGAAGTACAAATCCATTCCCTATCCCCCAACTGCTGCTCCTTTATTCTCATTCTCCTCAGTCTATGTTCTACCTTATCTATCTGCCCATCTCTGGGCTCTTCCACTGTGCTTTCTGGAATATCTGCTCCAAATGAACAAATTTAATTTCAGCTTAAATTTTTTATTTTCTCATTCCTTCCATTTTCCAGTACTTCATTGAGACCTGCATCCTTCCTGATGATACCACATACATGGCTACCTTTTCCATTACTTGTTCCATACTTTCTACTTCACAGGTCATGGGTGGTGGTGACAGGGAGTAGAGTACTCTTTGTTCCTGATTGCCACTTCTAGACTTTCCCAGTACTACCTCAGTGTTCACCCAATACACTCAGAAACTTCTCTTCCTTTGAGTTCTGAGCTATTCAAATTTACCACCGAATCCAGATCTTTTTGGTCCATTGATCTCTTTCCTTCCTGGTTCACTGTCTTTTTCTTCATCCCAACTCCTGCCTTCAAACTAGGGGACTTCAACATCCATACTGATGGTTCCTCAAACACCGTAACGTATCAGTTCCTCAGTCTTCTCAATTCCCATGATCTACTCCTACGCTTGACCTCAGCTATGCATACTAATGGTCATACCCTTGATTTTGCCATTATCTCTAAAGCATTCCACTTCCACATTCATAAGCTCTGAAATTCCTGTATCTTATGATTTAAAAAAAATCATTCCTCCATCTTTCTCTGTGCTTTACAATCTGAACCCTGTTCTTTGTCCTCACCATGACCTCTAATCTCTCTACTCTTCAATTTTTTCACCGGCTAATACCTCTACATTAGCCACACTCTCCTGCCTTTCCTAGATGGACTCCTTGGTGAATCAGTTTCCTAGTATATCACCATTTATGCTCCATATAATATCAAGTCTTTTGAGGATACCTTTGTTGCTAAATATTTTGGGAGCCTTACAAGTTCTACTACCAATATGGGTTTCCAAATCTACTCTACAGATGGTCTGGAGGCCCTGTATACTAGCAAGGTGGATCCATTCTAGAGCAGACCCAATCAGGTCAACCCTGAAACCTTCTTAGTTTTGTTTGAGAGTAGAGATAGGGCATGAGGATATGAGGAAATGGATTTCAGAGATTTTGGTGTGGTGCTGCTGCTGTTCAATCATTTCAGTTGTGTCTGTCTCTTTAAGACCTCATTTGAGGTTTTCTTGGCAAAGATACTGGAATAGTTTGGCATTTCCTTCTTCAGCTCATATTACAAATGATGAAACTGAGGCAAATAGAGTTAAGTGACTTGCTCAGGGTCACACAGCTAGTAAGTGTATGAGCCCAGTTTTGAACTCAGGA